ATGTGAGCGCCGCCACTGGGGCCTTCGGTGGAGCTCCCTATGGGGCCACGAAGCGCGTGAGGGGTGTACCGGGAAATGGCGGGGACGCATGTGAGCGCCGCCACTGGGGCCTTCGGTGCAGCTCCCTATGGGGCCACGAAACGTGTGAGGGGTGTGCTGAATTGGGTGCGGGTGACGCATGCGGGCGGTGCCACTGGGGCCTTCGGTGGAGCTCCCTATGGGGCCACGAAGCGTGAGCGGCGTGCCGGGATGGGTGGTAGGGACGCATGCGAGCGCGGCCACTGGGGCCTTCGGTGGAGCTCCCGATGGGGCCACGAAACGTGTGAGGGGTGTGCCGAATTGGGTGGGTGTGGGTGACGCATGTGACCGCCGCCACTGGGGCCTTCGGTGGAGCTCCCTATGGGGCCACGAAACCTGTGAGGGGAGTGCCGAATTGGGTGTGGGTGACGCATGCGCATGTGAGCGCCGCCACTGGGGCCTTCGGTGGAGCTCCCTATGGGGCCACGAAGTATGTGAGGGGTGTGCCGAATTGGGTGTGCGGGACGCATGCGGGCGGCGCCACTGGGGCCTTCGGTGGAGCTCCCTATGGGGCCACGAAACGTGTGAGGGGTGTGCCGAATTGGGTGTGGGTGACGCATGCAGGCGGTGGCACTGGGGCCTTCGGTGGAGCTCACTATGTCAGGAGCGAAACAAGGACGTACATGTACATAAATCCACGCTGGTTAAGAGAGCACGCATTGCACAAATGTTCGTATAACGCGGCGGGTCTCGCGAATCGAGGGGCCGTGTTCATGTACATAGCTGGGCGCGTACGTCCTTTGTGGGCTCCCTACTATGGGGCCACGAAACGTGTGAGGGGTGTGCCGACTTGGGTGTGCGGGACGCATGCGGGCGGCGGCACTGGGGCCTTCGGTGGAGCTCCCTATGGGGCCACGAAACGTGTGAGGGGTGTGCCGAATTGGGTGTGCGGGACGCATGCGGGCGGTGCCACTGGGGCCTTCGGTGAAGCTCCCTATGGGACCACGAAGCGTGCGAGGGGTGTGCCGAATTGGGTGTGCGGGATGCATGCGGGCGGCGGCACTGGGGCCTCTCCGGTGGAGCTCCCTATGGGGCCACGAAACGTTGTGAGGGGTGTGCCGAATTGGGTGTGCGGGACGCATGAGGGCGGCGGCACTGGGGCCTTCGGTGGAGCTCGCTATGGGGCCACGAAACGTGTGAGTGGTGTGCCGAATTGGGTGTGCGGGACGCATGCGGGCGGCGGCACTGGGGCCTTCGGTGGAGCTCCCTATGGGGCCACGAAACGTGTGAGGGGTGTGCCGAATTGGGTGTGCGGGACGCATGCGGGCGGCGGCATTGGGGCCTTCGGTGGAGCTCCCTATGGGGCCAAGGAACGTGTGTGGGGGGGGCGTGCCGAAGCTGCCGAAGCTGATGGCGATGATAGTGACGATGATGAGGACGATGATGATAACGACGACGATGATGATGACGATGACGATGACGATGATGCTGATGATGCAGATGATGATGACGGGAGGAGGGAGGGGGAGGAGGAGGGGGAGGAGGAGAGGAAGGCGGTGGGGCACTGTCTCTTCAAAACGACGACCCAACAACAAAGGATGGTTGGGAACAAAAATCACCGCACACATTCGAAGCACCATGGCAGAACGCGCATGCAAGCTACCAGAGAAGCGAACAAATCGCCAGTATGGCAAAAGACCCAAGTATATTCGGCTGCGAATCACGCAGGGTATGATCACCTCATCGTAGGAAGCGCGCCACGGGAAGGATGGGGCACGGGACATGCGGATGAGGGCCGCGAAACGTGTGAGAGGTGTGCCGAAACGAGCTGGGGGGCGCATGTGAGCGCTGCCACGGGAGCCTTCGGGTGAGCCCCATGTGGGGCCACGAGACGTGTGAGGGGTACGCCGAAATTGAGGTGGAACTACATGCGGACGCGGTCACTGGGGCATCCGTTGGAGCACCCTATGGGGCCACGAAGCGTGTGAAGGGTGCGCCAAAATTGAAGTGGAACTGCATGCGGACCCTGTCACTGGGGCCTTCGCTGGAGCACCCTAAGGGGCCACGAAACGCGTGAGGGGTGCGCCGAAATTGAGGTGGAACTGCATGCGGACCCTGTCGGTTGAGCACCCTATGGGGCCACGAAACGTGAAAGGGGTGCGCCGAAATTGAGGTGGAACTGCATGCGGGCGGTGCCACTGGGGCCTTCGGTGGAGCTCCCTATGGGGCAACGAAACGTTTGAGGGCCGCGCCGACATGGAAGTGGAAGTCCATGCGGACCCTGCCGCTGGGGCCTTCGGTGGAGCTCCCTATGGGGCAACGAAACGTGTGAGGCATGCGTCGGAAGGGAGGTGGAACTGCATGCAGACCCTGCCACTGGGGCCTTCGGTGAAGCACCGTATGGAGCCACGAAACGCGTGAGGGGTGCGCCGAAATTGCGGTGGAACTGCCTGCAAACCCTGCCGCTGGGGCCGTCGGTGGAGCACCTGATGGGGCCACGGAACGTGTGAGGGGTGCGCCGAAATGGAGGTGGAACGGCATGCGCCCAGATGACAACGATGAGGACATGCGGAGGGCAGAGGCAAGGGATGGGAGGAGGGAGGGGGGGAGAGGAGGAAAGGAGGAACGCGGGGCGCTGTCTCTTCAAACCGAGGACCCGACAACACAGGATGGTTGGGAAAAACGTAGCGACGGCCTCCAGCGACACCATCTGCTTGCGATCTCCCAGACTGGCAATGCGTTGCGCGCTAAGGGTTGCAACGCCTCGCCACATAAACGAAAGGACGATGCAGCAAAAAGAGCGCAGAGCGCAGACTAACAAGATCGGAGTGGAGCGCCCCGGGAAACAGCGCCAAGTTGACACAACATTCTGCACGCTCTGGCCCTGCTGTCTCTCATCCCCAACAACACTATCTCTCTCTCTCTCGCTCTCTTTCTCCTTCTTTCTCTCTCTATCTCTCTCTCTCTCTCTCTCTATCCACCCTGTCTGTTTGCATGAAGCGCATCCCCAAAGACACCTGACACACAGAAGCCGGCACTGTCATCGAATCGCACTGCAACCGAGAACAGTATACAAAACCCCAATGGAGAAAGGATCAAAACGACGTCAGCGTGCACACACGGAACAGTAGGCGAATGGCACCTGTGGGCCCACCCCACATCCATGTCACGCTTCTTTCAAACATCAGCAATATTCACGACCGCACAAAATTATCCTGGCGAAGGACCCAACCATATGCAATTGTGAAAACTGCAATTGTGAATATCTTCTCGGTGGAGCCCCCTACGGGGCCACGAAACGTACGAGGGGTGTGCCGAAATGGGTGTGCGGGACGCATGCGGGCACACCCACTGGGGCCTTCGGTGGAGCTCCCTATGGGGCCACGAAACGTGTGAGGGGTGTGCCGAAATGGGTGTGCGGGACGCATGCGGGCACACCCACTGGGACTTCGGCGGAGCTCCCTATGGGGCCACGGAACGCGTGAAGGCGTGCCGAAATGGGTGTGGCTGACGCATGCGGGCGGGCACTGGGGCCTTCGGTGGAGCTCCCTATGGGGCCACGAAGCGTGTGAGGGGTGTGCCGAATGGGTGTGGCTGACGCATGCGGGCGGGCACTGGGGCCTTCGGTGGAGCTCCCTATGGGGCCACGAAACGTGTGAGGGGTGTGCCGAAATGGGTGTGGGTGACGCATGCGGGGCGGGCACTGGGGCCTTCGGTGGAGCTCCCTATGGAGCCACGAAACGTGTGAGGGGTGTGCCGAAATGGGTGTGGTGACGCATGCGGGCGCGGGCACTGGGGCCTTCGGTGGAGCTCCCTATGGAGCCACGAAACGTGTGAGGGGTGTGCCGAAATGGGTGTGGGTGACGCATGCGGGCGCGGGCACTGGGGCCTTCGGTGGAGCTCCCTATGGAGCCACGAAACGTGTGAGGGGTGTGCCGAAATGGGTGTGGGGACGCATGCGGGCGCGGGCACTGGGGCCTTCGGTGGAGCTCCCTATGGAGCCACGAAACGTGTGAGGGGTGTGCCGAAATGGGTGTGGGTGACGCATGCGGGCGCGGGCACTGGGGCCTTCGGTGGAGCTCCTATGGGGCTACGAAACGCTGTACTGGGTGGGTGAAACGCAGGGAAGAGGGGGAGGAGGGAGGGGGCAGCGGGAGGAGGAGTGAACGCGGGGCGCTGTCTCTTCAAAACGAGGACCCAACACCACAGGATGGTTGGGAAAAACAAGCCGAACACATACGAATCGAGTGCAACTTCACATTTGGCTAAACACAGCCTGAACACCGAAGATGATCTAGCGACTACTCTTGGAATCTCCGCGACGAGAAAAAAAGAAAAAGACGAAGGGAGAGACAGAGAAAAACAGACAAACAGACAGACAGACAGAAAAACAGACAGACAGGCAGACAGACAGACAAGAGAGACAGACAGACAGACAGACACAGAGAAAGAGAAAGAGAAAGAGAGAGAGAGAAAAAGAAAAAAAAAAAAAAAACAAAAAAAAAAAAAAAAAAAAAAAAAAAAAAAAAAAAAAAAAAAAAAAAAAAAAAAAAAAAAAAAAAAAAAAAAAAAAAAAAAAAAAAAAAACGTACATAATGCGTGTGCTTCGCGCGCCCCAGCCGTTGACAAGCTCACAGCTGCACGAGTGTAGATACCCACGAAGATATTCGACATGCTTTGAGAAAGAACGCGGGCCGAGCAGAAGGGGGACTGTTGGAAGCTCCTCAGGAGTGGTCTAGAGGTTCGTCGGGTCTTTGGGATTTTTTCTCGGAGGCGCAAACCGCCAATCTGCTCAGCAGTGCGATGATGCTACTGATGCATCTTCAAAATGCAACCGAAAGCTGCGACTGATGGATGATGGACTGATCCAGCCAGGGGAGCAAATCTAACGCGCCGCCTTCGCAAGCGCAGAGCCTCGCCACGACTCTCACATGGAGTCCGTTGGTCGGTCTTGGGCCGCCTTCGGACGGTTTTGAGTGTGTTCGGGCGGACGCCAGTGGACTCAGCACGAAGGCTACTGGGCAAGAAGAAATGGTCCTCCACTCCCCCGTCTCATGATCCTTCATTTCACTCCTCCTTTTTCGGTTCCTCATCCGCGCGTTCCTCCTCCGCGCACCCCTCCTCTTCCTCCTCCTCCTCCCGCCATGCGGAAACTGCCACTGGGGCCTGCGGTGGAGCTCCGTGTGGGGCCACGAAACGTGCGAGGGTGTGCCGAATCGGGTGCGGGGCCGCCATGCGGACCCTTCCGCTGGGGCCTTCGTTGAGCCTGGACCGCCGAGCTGACACTGCCGCTGGGGCCTTTGGTGGAGCTCCCTATGGGGCCACAAAACGTATGACGAGTGTACCGAATCTGGTGCGGGGCGGCCATGCGGACCCCGCCGCTGGGCCATTTGGTGGAACTCCCACTGAACCCACGAAGCGTGTGAAGGGTGTGCCGAATCGGGTGCGGGACCGCCATGCGGACCCTGCCGCTGGGGCCTGCGGTGGCGTTCCCTAAACCTACGAATTCCCACCCAGAACCTTACCCCCCCCCCGCCTCCACCACGTTCCGCCCCCCCCCCCCCCTTCCTCCGCGGCAACTCTGTTAAGCCCCCAACCCATAAATTCTCGCCCGGAACCTACCAACGCCCCCCCCCCCTCGCCTCCACCACGCCCTGGCCCCCCCCCCCACGGCAGCTCTGTTCGTGGGACCTCCCAACCCATAAATTGGCGCCCCCCGCGCCTCCACCACGTCCCCCCCCCCCCCCCCCCACGGCAGCTCTGTTCTTTCGACCCCACAATCCACAAATTCTCGCCCGGAACCTACCAACACGCCCACCCCCCCGCCTCCACCACCCCTGGCACCCCCTCCCAAGCGCCAACTCTGTTATTGGGACCCCCCAACCCACAAAATCTCGCTCGGAACCGACCAACGCCCCCCTCCCTCCCGCCTCCACCACGCCCCGGCACCTCCTCCCCCGCGGCAGCTCTGTTCTTGGGACCCCCCAACCCGCAAATTCTCGCCCGGAACCTACCAACGCCCCCCCCCCCCGCGTCCACCACGCCCCAGTTCCCGCCCCCACCGCCCCCATGGCACCTCTGTCGGGACCCCCCAACCCCAAAAATTCTCGCACGGAACCTACCAACGCCAACCCCCCCCCTCCACCACGCCCCCGGCACCCCCGCCCCACTACAACTGTTCCTCGGACCCCCAAACCATCAACTCTCGCCCGGAACCTACCAACGCCCCCCTCCCACCTCCACCCCGCCCCGGCACACACACACACACACACACACACACACACACACCACACAGCTCTGTGTTTGGGACCCCCAAACCCACAAATTCTCGCCTGGAACCTACCCACGCCCCCCCCCGCCTCCACCACGCCCCGTCACCTCCTCCCCCACGGCAGCTCTGTTCTTCTGAGATGTTCCTTTCCAACTTCAGGGGGATTAGCCACATTATCTTAACTGGGGCAATATTCAAGTTGAGTTGTATTTGCAAAAGTGGAGTTGTAATGTCACAAGTCAACTTGAAACCTTTTTTTTCCAACTCCTTGAACTAACTTAATGGAATGGCACATCCAATATGTTACGTCAGAGCATAGAACTATAGAATAGTGAGATGCGGCCCTTGCACCACGATGGACTTATGGGACTTATCCAACTCACTAGTTCACTGAAGTTCAGCTGTGTGAAATGTTGTTTGTTTTATCTCGGCCTGGGGACACAACAAAAATATGCTGAAATTTAGGCCTCGAGGGTCTAAGGGGCCTTGAGCTGATCAATTCGCAAAGAGCTGATTACTGCTCCAAGCGGGATGACCGCTAAGCGGGATTACGGTCTTCGTTGATGTCTTAAGTTTTAAGTTTTCGGATAGGTCCTCAGCTAATGTCTCACCACTGAATGCCGGCAAAACTGCTGCCCTCCACCCTAAGACACCCAGCACGCCTAAGGCACCAAGACACCCAAGACGCCTCAGGCACCAAGACGCCCCAAGACGCCTAAGGCACCAGTATAGCCAAAGACGCCTGTAGGCGTCTTTGGCAATGTTGGTGTCTTGGCGTCTTAGAGCCCTGGGCGTCTTGGGCGCCTTGAGGCCCCATGAGACCTCAGGACACCCAAGACGCCCAAGGCCCTAAGAGGTCACGGAGGTGGAGGCGACGAAGGTGAAGGGGCATTCTGTTTTTTTCATCCAGGTGAAGGGCGGCTGGCCCGTTGGTGGCTGGCCCGCCGGTGGCTGGCCCGCTGGCGTAGCTCGAGCGCCCTCGCGCTTATTTCAAAACGATAGCCTCAACAGAATCGGGCCCAAGGGACCCGAGTGACGCAGAGGATTCCACGAAACTTCGCATTGCGAATCTTGCTCTTCCAACTACCCTGATCACTGGAAAGAACATGGATCTCAGCCATGGGGAAATAGTGATGCCGCTCTCCGACGCAAGAGACGACGTCAAACAGCATAAAACTAAAAGGCGACGGGTCGACGCTCGAGCTCGCAAGGCGCTCCCTGAGCGCCCTCACAAGATGACGAGGTAGCCGCCGACGAAGATGCAGCGCCACTGTCCCCCAGCATCTCCCCCAGCAACTCCAGGGTGAAGAAGCACGTGAGACGCGTCTAAATTCATACCAGTGACTGCCTGACTTGCCTTAGAGAAGAGCACTGGTGAGGCTGCAGGTGGGGCCTCGATGCCAGCACTGAATGTCAGAGACGACCTCGTCATTGACTGGAGGCTGCGGGCTCAGCGGGCTCGGAGGCGATGGGCTCAGTCGAATTCCCATGGGCTCTGGGGACGAACATGAAGAAGCCGTACTCGGGGGGGATCCAGCAGCGCCCGCACCTCTGGACGCGGATGGCCATCTGACGGCCGCGTGGGGGCGGGCCCAGGGGGGGGAGCGGATGGCGACCCCAGGGGCGCGAAGCAACGTCTTCTCGGGCACCCGTCGCCCAGCCAGCCCAGAACTTGCAGGCATACATGATTGGAAGCATCTCCTCATGGGCCCCTGGGAATTTGATGGGTCGAGGGGGGTGGGAGGGATGAAGGGCGAGGTCAGCGAGAGTAGAAGGGGTTACAAGAGAAGGGGGGGGACGGGCTCCTCGGGGCCCAGGATCAGGAGCAAGCGGTACATTACATCGCCGTAGAGGTCTGCGAACACATCTACCATATCAGTGGACGCATCGATGTTTGGCGGTTCGCAGTCCGTACACCAGATGCGTTCCATGTCCCTCTCTGCCACATCGCGCCAATTTGTGACATCAGGAGGGCGTGGGGGAGGGGGCGAGGGCGAGGTTGCGAGTGGGGTGGGGCGCCGCCGGGGGGTCACCAGCTCGCCCTGGAGACCAGAAAGACCTGGGGACCCCCTGCCCACCCCTCGCCCCACCCCCCTCGCAACCTCATTCCCACCCCCCCCACCACCCCGCTGTCCGGATGCCTGTGATACTGAACGGTGGGCATCCTGTCAGGAGATGGCTGCCCAAAAGATTGAATTGGCTTGCCAGCGCAGCCGCTGGCGGCCCTCGAGAGAAGAGCTCTAGGAAGCCGATGCTTCCGGGAGGATGGTGAGGTGGAGGATGGCGAACACGGCGCGAAACATGCCAGCTGAAACTTCAGCACATGCACGCGCAGGGCGCGGTCCTATGCGATGCTATGCGGTGCTATGCGATGCTATGCGAGGCTATGCGAGGCTATGCGATGCCATGCAATGCTGGCACCTCCTACGGGCCCTGCAGCAGCACGATCGAGCCTCCTCCCTCCATCCTCCCCCCCCCCTCCTCCCCCACGAATGTCCTCTCGGTCCTGTCCCCTGTGTGTGCGAGAAGCGCGCAATGATGTAGCGCGCGAATTTTTTCGAATGATTTGCGCACGTGAGCTTCCCAGAGGTATTGTTTGGATTCACTGCTCATCAGCTGCGTACTACTACTCCTCCACGAATCCGAGCCGCGCCCCCCCCCTGCTTCGGAGGCCCCCCCCGTCTTCACCGCTGGGCGCGGCTCGAGAAACTGGCACGCCCTACCGCAGCCAGGGTCTCGCCTGACTCGTAGCCCCCTGTGAGCGCCATCGGCGGCACTCCCGCTTCGGCCCAGACCCGAACGCCGATTCCGTTCGTCCCGCCACATTTTAGGCTCAAGCGAATATTCAGTCAGGACCGAGAGGGGATCCCGCCCAGCGGCATATCCCAGATTTTTACTTCGCTCAGCGGAATCGTCAGTCAGGCCGTCCCAGACGCCTACTTCGCTCAGCGGCATATCCCGCTCAGCAGCATATTTCGCCAGCCGGAGCCCAGTCTGCACTGCAGCCGCTTCCATTGTGCCAAACGATGATGGCTATGTTGCCGAGTCCAGACATGGTTTGCTTCTCTCGAAATGGGTTGTATCAGATCTAACGCTCGACGTGATGAAGATTCAAAGTACTGCCCGGTGCATGGATATGCACAGCTGGGTAGTCGAGTTCGCTACGGCAGAAATCCCACGGCTCAAAGACGTGGAGGGCCCATTACAGTTGAATGGCCCATTGCTCGCTGTGATCTCTAACTTGCGGCCATCTTCAGATTGCAGAGATTATTTGCGGCGCTTGATCAGAGACTATGCTGGGTTTGGGCCTGGTTCTTCTGATCAGGGGCATTACTTCCAGTCGATATGCTTCGAGTGGAGATTGGGCCAATTGTCAAGAGGCAGGGCGACAGTGGTTTCGGTCACCCTCCGACCGGACACTTGCATTACAGGGAGGACTCCAGCTCTGATTGCGCCAATGCTCAACGTTCCAGGGTACGAACCGAAGGCCTGCAACCACCATCACGCTGAGGCACTCCACAAGCTCCAAGGCGGACGAGAGCTCCAAGCGCGGGTGAACCACAGCGGGCCATTGGAACCGCTTGGTTTCTTGACGCCAGAAGGGAAGTTCGATCTTGTGGAATGCTGTGCGTCGGCGACCGCATTGGGCTTCAGAGTTGTATTTCTTGCTGAACGAGATGTAACTCTTTCGCACGGTTGCGCCCAAGGGGTTCGCAGGCTTCACTTCGAAAGCGCGGTTCCGCCGCTGCAGTGCAAGGCCCCGCATGGGCGCCAGCCGATACTGCGCTCGCTGGCAGGCTACACGGGCACATATGAAGATCTCGTCGATTACGCAGAGGAGCGCCAGATAAAAAGGATCACGGGCGCTATCGGCAAGTACATCCACGAGAGGAGCCCCCCATATATCCCAAAGAATTGGCCTCGTCGGCAATGTTTCGAGCCGCACGTGAATGTGAATGGTGCCGCCATGCGGTTTTTCGCAACCCCATATTCAGGGAGCGCGTGGGCCTGGCGCGCCGGCCAACCGAACCACTGTCAGCTGGTGCGGATCTGGCAAGGCAGGTATTGACCTGGAGGTGTCTACGTTTCTGGGTTGTTTCTTGATAAGGATGGCGCGAAGGTCCTCCGTGCTAAGCTGATTTCTGGCTAGGCTAGCGCATTGTGCGTAGAATCTGGACTCACCAGGAGGCCGATAAGGCTGAACGGCCACGACTATAGGTAGGTGGGCAAATCATAATTGCAAGCAGGCGTCGAAGATACAACCACCGAAAGATTGTGTATAACCCTGTTGCTGTCAGGGGCTTAGGCGCTCCTGTTGCAGCCGCTTGAAGTTTTAAGCGCTCAGGCGCTCACAGGCCCCAAGGCCATCCTCCGAACATCTCGGAGGCTAGGGCAGTTCGATCACGTCGCCAGGAAACGAGCGTCTGTGTTGAAGGGGGCATCCGCGCACTGATGCAAATCGTGGGTGGTCAGCCTGCCCCCCCTCCTCCAGCTCCATCTCCTCCTGATATTCGTCCCCCAGTCTCCTCCTCAGCCCCCCCATCCTCTATATGCCACTCTTCTCTGAACCAGCGGCAGCGCCGCTTAGCGGTAATGCCGCTTGCCCCAGTGGCGCAGTCCGTATTGCGCCGCCGCCCCATTTGCGCACGCCCCTCACACGCTTCGCGGCCCCATGGCCCCAGTAGCGCAGTCCGAATGGCGGCGGCGCCGCATTTTGGCACACTCCTCGCACGTTTCGCGGCCCCGTCGGGAGCCCCACCTAAGGCACCGCGGCGCAGTCCGCACGCCGCCGCCGCCGCTTTTTGACACACCACTCACACGTTTGAAGAGGAGGATCATGAGGACAACGCCGACGACCTGTCGTGCAACTAACTGAACACAGAAGCACAGGTCAACGCGCGGGCCTAACTGGGCCGTTCAAAACTAAACGACGTTGGGCGCGCACGGCAAAACACTGGATTCAGAACATCACCGTGTACTCGCCAGGCGCATTCATTCACCAAGCGCTGGCCTCTCGCGCGTCCGCCACGAACGCCCCGCCAAGACGGCGCGTCAGTCGACACCTTCTCGACTTTGTCATGGGCCCACTCGGCTCCATATAACCTGCACGATTAACAGCAAGTCCGATGCGTCGAATGCGCATGCAGCTACCCCCCGCCCCCCCCCCCCCCCCCCCCAAACAACATCAGCTGATATCATAATGTCGTGCACGTGAAACTCTCTGCCGTCAGATCGGACGGACGTGGCCAGCGAGACATCCGGATATCCCCGAGGCGAGGTGCACTTGCCGACGAGGCCGTTGGAGAAATGGCAGCTGCCATCCTGAAGTGCGTTGAACTGTTTGGTAAGCAGGCTCGCCGACACAGACCGTTCCCAAGTGTGGGTGCGATCCACGTGTTCGGCAACCTCCTTGACCCGAAGGTTCAACCTCTCCACCACAAACACAGCCACCACGCACCGATCAGTAAGAAAGTGATCGGGGATGTGGAAGCAAGCATGGTGCTGCTGGAGAACTTTGCCCCCGCCGTACGAAGCCTTAAACTTATCGGAGTGGCGCCGCAAAGCACCGCGCAATGATGCGGCCGCATGCTGGAACACAAGGCCCGACGATCGCTCGGCAGTCATGCACAAGTCAACAACCTCGCACGCCGCCTCGAACGATTCCCGCTGCAACCTGATGCGGGCGTCGCGCACCGAATGGCGCTCCACATAATGCCTCATAAGAACGCACAAACTGATGGATTCGCTGGCCTTGGCGATGACTTTTCCATTGTTCCTCATTGTGGTCCGAAAAAGCGTCATCTAGTTCAGAATGCTTTACGCCGCGCCGTCGTGGGAAGGACCAGTCCACCTTCATCAAATCACGCCAGAAAGAAAATTGCAACCCTACGCCATCGCACGACTTGGCAAACAACGAGCACTCCCTTGCAAACGTCCCGTGCGCAAGCACGTCGTGCACCCAATCGGTGCGAATGACAGAGTATACGTCAAGCACCTCGCAGAGACGAGCGTCGGCCTGCAGCGAGTGGGGGTCCGGATTGAACCCAAGTCCGCGAACCATTTCCTTAAACTCCCCATTGCGGATTTCACCGTTGTCAAATTGATCCTTTGCTCTAATCACAACGGACATTAAGCCGATCATCTGGTCCTGGCCCATCGGTCTGAACTGAGCAGCGTCTCCACACGCGGTGTCAACCTCGCCAGGTGCCAATGGCAAGTTCCTCTTCCACACGTTTGTACAGAATAAGCACGGCTTGTGAGCAGCAGCCCGCCCCCAATCGCAGCACATCCAAAAACGATCCAAATCCGACAGCACAATTTTCACCCTCGCATAAAGATGGAAAACTTGGCCATGCAGCATGAATGGGCAGCCCGCCTGCCAAAACGACAGGTCACAAATAATCAGCATGTGCAGCAGAATCCGAAACAGTCGAGGCCAACCGCCAATCACGCTCCTGATGATATGCGCACGGCACAGCGCAAACGTCATCCACGTCATCTCGTGGCACAGCGCAGCGGGGCCAACCTCCATGAAATTGAATGACGTCACCATTGTTTTCCTGCGGTTCGAAGGTTTTTCTCTTGTCCCCCGTCGTGAATTCATCGAATGCTATGATGAGGTTCCAGGGTGCGTCTATGGTGCACGGAGCGGCATTGGCCGCCTGGGCGAAGAGCTCTTGGAGCTTGGCCGACGCATGGACCATCTCTTGCAGCAGGAGCGACGATTCAGATATTACCCACTTGAGGGGGTGTTCTGCATTTTTCCAGCTCAAAATCAAAATGCCGCGCAACCGGTTTCAAAATAATGTGGTTTGCCTCATTCAGCGTTTTCCTCCCAGGGGCGGCGTCAACATCTTACTTAGACAAGATCTTGGCAAGCCCATCGATTGGCACGCTCCCTGTACGCAACAAAGATGGAGCTCTCAAACGCTTGTTCATGCAAAGTGAACTGTGCGAGATGACTGCGCCAAAACGGCTGCAATGGACAGGGAAGGGAGGGGTGGGGTAGCGTGCCAGATGCTGACGCGAGGGCAATCAAGAAATTTCTGAGGTCCCCCCGTGAAATAGAAACGTTTTTCCTTCATATCTAGCCGCGCCGATGGGATGAGCGCCCTGGGGGCCTTGAACTGCGGGTTGGAGCCTGGGGGAGGCAAGGGCCCCTGACTTCGCGATTCGCGCTCCGCGAAGCGCGAAGCGCGAATAACTTCGCGCCTTCGCGCCGCGCCCCCAAAGGGGAGAAGAGGAGGACGAGGAGGACGAGGAGTAGGGGGAGGAGGAATGAGGAGCGCGAAGCGCGAAGCGCGAATAACTTCGCGCCATCGTGGGAGCCCTTGGGAGCCTGCGGGAGGTCGGGTCGGGTTCTCCAAACGCAGAGCACGGCTGGGGCACCCCGTTGCCCGCCGTGCGACGCCGCTCGCGGCGGCATAGGCGATGCCAACCTAGCACAGGTCGGCCTGCTGAGCTGCAAGGGCCGCGTCGCACTTGCGCTCGACGCCCCAGCAGCCGCGGCGAAGCCATCCTAGAACGGATTGGCCTGGCGGATGAGCTGCGAGGCCGCGTCGGCCTCGCGCTTCATGTCTGCCAACAGGCTCTTGACCGTTACATTGTTGTCGATGTGGCGAATGGTGCCGTTGTGGCCACCGTCCATGACCTTCTTGACGTCGCTGTGGAGCTCGCTGATCTTCTTGTAGTCAACCTCGATGGTCTCGCGGACCCTCTGCGGCATCCCCTGGAAGGCTGCGTCGCTCACGATATCCTGCAGCGTGTGCTTCATGTGCCTGACCTTGTCCGACATCGCCGTCGCGTCCTCCAGGTTCTTCGCGCCCTCCTTCTTCCGCATGGTCTCGAGCTTCTGTCCCCCCCCTCGCGCACCCGCCTTGCGGACGTTCCTGGCATCCTTGTCCTTCTTGCCCTTCTTGTGGCCCTTCTTGTCCTTAGTGAGCTCATTGCCCTTCTTCTTACGGCGGCTGCGCGACGAGGAGCTCGCTGAGCTCGACTCCTTGGACTCGGACTCGGGAGCGCCATCCACCTTCCGCCTCTCGCCGCTGTTCCCCTTCACGTCCTCGCGAAGCTTCCCCGTCTTGCTCGCCGTGCCAGCCGAGTATATCGGGACGCGGTGCGTCTTCCCGAGGACGCGGTGGTCTTGAATGTCCCACGGGCGCGACAAGCTCTCGATTCGACCCGTGTCGAAGCCTTTGACAGACCACGCCGACAGCGGCAAGAATTCTCCACCTTCTGCGGACCACTTGCGGTGCTCCTCCAAGCCCTTCTACTCGTGGAACTGCGCGCCGACATCCTTTCGCTTCTTGGTGCCCCTGATGCCGCCAAAGAACGCCTTCTTGCTCTCGTCGTCGAGGGCGCTGAACTCGGACGTTGGCCATGCGCCCAGTTCGGTGCTCAGCTGCGTGACCTTGCTGGAGCAGCGCGAGCACCTGTACACTTGTTGCGGACCCTGACCTTGTCCATGACCTCCACCTCGGCACCGAAATCCCCGCGGTGCACGCGGCGATCCTCGAGGAAACTGGGGCGATCTGGCACCATTGGCGCCCGCGTCGGCTTCGGCCGCGCCGGGAAGAGGCCGCGCTTCGGGGCGCGACCAAGGGTCTGCGGGTTCGAGGGGGCTGGTGCCGCCAGTGGGTCTGCAGCAGGTTCTGCCGCAGTATCTGGCGGGGAGCTCGCGGCGACCGGTGGCTCAGGAGGGCGCAGCCGCCGCCTGCGGGGGCGGACCCGACGGCGCTGGGGCCACCGCGGGAGGGCCATCGTGCGGGGGCTCGAGGATGATCGCGCCGACCTTCGGGGGCGGCGCCCCGCTGCTCTTCGCCGCCGAGGGCCTCGCCCGACGCGGCCGAGCTTGCCCTGGCGGGGGCTGCGGAGGCGGCGGCACCGCGGCGGCGGAGAGGGCCACCGCCGCCTCGATCGGACTGTCGGCCTCGACGCGCACGATGTTGCCAGCCTTGCAATGGTCACAGCGCTGCGCTGGCCCACTCCCCCACACCCCCCACCCCCATCCCCCCCCCACTAAACGCCCCCAGCAGTCACAGGCCTCATGAGCCTGTGCAGATTAAGGGGCATGACGAATATGACGCCTGGCAACTGCGACGCCCCCATGGGGCGCCACTGGCGTGAGGGGGTGGGCGGATGGAGGGGGTGTCAGGGGTTGTCCAGGCCAGCGCAACGTTGCCCATGCGCATTCGGGGCATGTTCCGAAACTGTAGCGCCGAACATCGTGTCGATCTGGAGCTGCCGAGCCGCCCAAGCCGCCTGGGCCGCCTTAGCCCTGTGCGGCAACCCATCCGCGGTCCTGCGAGCCATCCCCTCACTGATCATCTTCTCCTCCATGGCCTGAATGTCCTGCGGCGTCCTCCTGCAGGTCGGGCACGCGAGCGCGCCCATTGGTTTTGTCAGGATCCTGCAGGTCTCGTCGATGCAAACCTGGTGGAACATATGGAGGCACGGCAAGATGGCACGCAGAACCTGCCCCCAGGCGCTGTCCCCGTCGGGACCCTCCCTCGGGGGGAGTTGGCAGATATCGCAAATGTCGCGGTCGCCCGTCGGACCTGGGACGCCCGGCGGCGCCTCGCCACCTCCATGGGGCCCCTCCACATCGGCCACCTCCATCGGCGCCTCGCCGCCCCCATGGGGCTCCTCCGCATCGGCCACCTCCATCGGCGCCTCGCCACCTCCATGCGGCTCCTCCGCCTCAGGACCTGGGACGCTCGGAGACGCGGCAGCGTCGCCGACGGTGGGTTCTGCGGCCACCCCGCCCGCCTCCAAGGCGGCCTCGAGCGTCTCCTCGAGCGTCTCCTCGACCACAGGGTCATCATCGTTCCGCGACATCACGCGCTGCAGACGGCGGCAGTGCACACTGGGCGTCGACTGGCGAAATATGCCGCTGAGCGGGATATGCGGCTGAGCGCAATAAAAATCTGGGACGGCGGTCCTGACTGAATTCGCTCGAGCCTGAAAGGCGACGGGACGAACGGAATATGTGTTCGGGTCTGGGCCGAAGCGGGAGCGCCGCTGGTCCAACGCGGCTTGCAAGGCCCCCCCGCCCCCTCCGCGGGGGCCGCCCCTGGCGCCCTGCAGCCGTGCCGAGGCCACCTTGGAGCTGTAGTGGGGCATCTTGGGCCATTACCAGGGCCGCCTGGCAACGGCTATCAGACCATCAGCAGACCATTCTCCGCCCACTATCAGAAAGTTGTCAGGGCCACCTGATCACGGTTACCAGACCATTATCAGAAATTGAATCATGCATTAGCAAGGCACGCCTGATAATGCAACGCATCGGCTGGTAACGTTATCAGACCGCCTGATAATGCATTAGCATACCATTATCAGACCATTATCAGACCACTATCAGACCACATCTGGTAACGCGGCATCAGAAATCTGAGAATTCATTACCAGGGCACGCCTGGTAACGCATTGTATCGGCTGATAACATTACCAGACCGCCTGCTAATGCACTAGCAGGCCATTGTCAAACCATTTCCAGACCATTATCAGGCTACCTGGTAACGGTTATCCGACCATTGCCAGGGCCGCCTGATAACGCACGGCGCTGCCGACGACGGCGACGTCGCCACAAAATGTGTCCAAAAGGGGCCCAAGAGGTCCTCGCGGCGGGGCTCCTTGGGTAGGCAACCCACGAGATCACTGAGGCCTCAGGCAAGGACCCAAGGAGCCCCGAATACAAGGCCCGATGAGCCCAATACACGTCCGTCGCCAGGAGGCGGGGAACGTTGCACCCCGAACCCTCTCAGAGGCGCAAGCCGTTCACACCGCGCCATGGAAAATCGCTCCTTTCGACGCGGGGATGCAAGGGCTCCCAACTTCAACTTCGCGCTTCGCGCTGCGCGATGCGCGAATAACTTCGCGCCCTCGCCCCCCCCCCCCCCCCCCCCCCCCCCCCCAAGGAGGAGAAGGGGAGGGCGAGGAGGGGGAAGAGAAGTGAGGACCGCGAAGCGCGAAGCGCGAATACCTCGGCGCCCCCGCGGGAGCCCTTGGGGACGCGGATGGGGCGGGGGCCGACGAGGATGAGGATGGCGAGTTTGCGTGCGTTGTCCAGGTGCGCACATGCCAGCACTGCGACGCAACGCCCCCCCGAGCTGCGGCGCTTCTCTACGCGTCGGCCAGCCAGGACCCATGCGCGACAGAGGCTTGCCACCGACGAGATCACTCGTCACCAAAAGCTCAACTGCCCTTGAGCTTGTCCCAGCTAGCCGCAGAAGCCGCGTAAGCCTTCCTACCAAGCTCCTTCATCTCGTCCGCCGACTTGCCAGCAACCTTCGCCCTCTGCCTCACCGCGCGGTAGGCCTTCGAAGTGAAGCACTCGCGCGCGGTGGCTTTCACCGTCTTCTTCGTCAGGACTGCCAGGTCGGAGATGTCGATCGGCTTATTGTCGGCCTTCGTCTTGGGCGGGGTCGCCTTGTCGGCCTTCGTCTTGGGCGGAGTCGCCTTGGTCGCCCTGTCGGCCTTCGTCTTGGGCGGACTCAACTTGACCGCCGCGTCGCCCGCGCCGCGCTTCCCATGTGCGAGCGCGACCTTCTTGGTCGCGAGGGCGCCCTTCGCAGCGGGAGTAGCGGGTGGGCATTCGTCCTCGTCATCATCTTCACCCTCGCCACCTGCGTCGTCGGCCGACTCCCCCCCCTCGCCGGCGTCGGCGTCTGGTTTGCCCTCCTCCTCTTCCTCGTCGCCCTTCTTCGCCTTGGCTGGCTTTGCCGCGGGCTTCTTCATGACCCTCTTCGCGTTGGATTTCTCCTTGGCCTCTTCGCGCTTCGCCTTGGCTTTCTCCTTGGCCTGATCAACGGTGCGCTTCAAGTTCTGTGCCACCACTGCCCCAGCACTATCAGCGGGCGCGGCGGCTGCTGGAGCTGCGGCAGCGGCAGCTGGGGCTGCGGCTGGCGACGCGGCAGCTGGGCCCGCGGCCGCTGGAGCCGCGGCAGGTGGATCTGCGGCCAATGGATCCGCGGCAACGGCAGCTGCGACGTCGGTAGCTGGCTCGAGAGCGCGCACTGGATGTGGCCCTGCAATCCTTCGGCCTGGCGCCGCGCTGGCCCCGTGGCGGCCCGACCGAGCGGCATTCCCGAAGACCTCTGAGGCATCCATGAAGTGCGCCATTCCGCCACCTGCTGAGCCCGCCCCCGCTCCGACGCGCCCTCCCGCCACGAGGGGCACGGCGGTCATGGCCATGGTCTGCACGCGCTGCATCTGCTGGGCCCGCTGGGCAAGAATCTGCCCGATGCCGCCCTGCGGCCCTCCGCTGGAGGCGAATGGCACCAACTGGCCGCTTGCCTCATTGCCCGAGCCCTGCGGCCCTCCGCCCAGTAGCTGAACCGCATGCTTCTCGGCCCCCATTCCTCTGCACCGATGCCTATTGTCAATGTCCCGAAGCTTGGCCATGTCCAGCGGGCACCGCGTGGGCCCGTCGCCCGCGCGAGCGCCGCGTGCCTCGGCGTAGGCCTGCGGGTGCGAACGCGCCAGGTCACTTGGCAGATTCGGCAGCGTGGCCATGTAGGTGTCGGGCCTTGGGGACTTGTCTGCAATGTTCCTGTATTATTTCTTGACGTAGCCGTGGTTTGCCTTCAACTGAAAACCACCCATCCTGTACGGGTTAGGATCGCAAATGAGAAGCCACATCGAAGCCATCAGCTTGGTCGCGTGCTCGCACACGTTGACGCCGCCCAGGCGCACGACGCGCTCGATGATGGGGTGCAGGCAAGCGGTGTTGGGCGGCACATCGCCGTCATCGGACATCCATTTGGACCAGTTGTCCTCAGTGGGGAACTCGACGAAGCTCGTGTACTTCTGCTGGACTTGACGGGCGTGATTCAACGCCGCGGATGAATCCCTGCCAAGTATAGCCATGATTGGCCCGTCGTGGCCCTGGTACCAGTCCACACTGATGATCATAAGTGGCAGCGCTGCCTGGTCCTCGGGCGGGATGTTTGCCCACGCGCGGCGCAGCATGGCGACGACGGCGTTGGACTGAACCCACGACAACGCCTGCTGCCGATCGGTCCCATGGACAGCCCGAAGCGCCGCCCCGATCGCCCCCAGCCTGAGACGCAGCGCGGACGCGTCCGACATGGGCCAACGCAGTCAGCGAGAACAGCAAGTCGTTGCCTAACTGCTGGGAGTGCTGACACCCATATATATATATATGTGTATATATTTTATTTTTATTTTTTTTTTTTTTTTTTTTTAAAAAAAAAAAAAAAAAAAAAAAAAAAAAAAAAAAAAAAAAAAAAAAAAAAAAAAACGGCTAGCGGAAAATCCCGCTAGCAGCTCGGTGAACGCGCTGCTCGGGCCAAGGAGGCGGCTGCAGGAGGAGGTGGTCGGGGGGGAGGGGGATGGAGAGGGCAGGGTCTCTTGGCGACCAGAAGAGGAAGAGTTGCCGCTGCTATCTCCTGAGGGCGAGAGCCCCATTTTAACATGGATCCGCCCTCCACCTGCGCAACGGTTGCAAACTTTACGACGAGGTAACGATGCGCGGGCTCGTCCTTGAAGGCCTGAGGGCGCCCTGGCTTGAAAGCCTCGCCCTCAAAAGTGGTCCTGGGTGGAGGCCTCACAAAGACTGGCTTGCAGATTCCACTCGGAAACGCAAAAACAAGACCACCCGCCCTGAAGAGAACCGATCGTGGCCTTGGAGGGTCTCAGGGGCCTTGCAAGCGGGATTGCCGCTAAGCGGGATTACCGCTAAGCGGTCCTCGCTGATATAGTATGTTTTATGTTTTCGGTTAGGGCCTCAGCTGATGTCAAAGGTGGGGCCCGAGGCATAGGTCCCATCCCACCTCCCAGATTCAACGAATGGTCAGGCCGACGACGTTTGAAATGTCGTGTGGGGGGGGGGGGGGGGGTACAGGGGGAAAGAAGGACAACGTTTCCGGGCGCGGCACGGGCGAAACGTGCGACTGGCGAGCGTAGAGCGTAAGTTGCAACGCTGTTGACGGGCGTAAGTTGCAACGCTGCTGACGAGCAAGCGGTGCGATAATATGAAATGTCGCGCTGTCGCCAGTGGCTACCTGCCCATGTGCCTTCTTAAGGGCACACTGAGCTGCTAGGGCATGAGGGCACACTGAGCTGCCGGGCTCGCCCGACACAATCTGATCATGCAGCAGCCGCAGCTGGCGGCTCCGCTCGCAGAGCACGGCGGGCCTGCGCGGCCCCAATGACGAGTCGTCGCCCATGACGTCAGAGCCTGCGCGGCCTAGGTTCACGGGTGTCACTGGCGCTGCTGAGCCACTTGGCGCTGAGCCACTCGGTGCTGATGGCGCTGCTAACGAGACACCACCAGCTGGAGGCCTGGCCTCATCAGGGCCCATGGCATCACACTCAGGCACTTCGATGATGGTCTTGAACGGGACGAAGATGATTTCTGTTTTCGCTGGAACTGGTGCGGCTGCTTTCCGCTTGCCTGGGGTGACCTCCTTGTGAATGGTTCCAAACCCTGGTAGGAAGAACGCCCCCTCGGTGTTGAGCTCGGTAAAGAAGGTGGATGAGATCGCGCGCATCACTGCCATTGCTCGCGCATGAGCGCAGCCCGTCACGGCCGACGCCCTCATGAACATGTCCATCGGGTTGAGGGCGCGCTGGCTGAGTAGATTCCAGCACTGGCTCTCTGTCATGCCCTCAACGTCAACTATAGTCTTGGCCGCGGCCTTCCTCACGCCCTTGGGCGTGGGCATTGCCGTGGAAGCGGGAGGGCCGCTGTGAAAAATTGTGAGAAGCTGGGTCAACTCGAGCCTCGGTGGCTTCGGGCGGGCGCCGGTCCGAATGTTAGCGCCACGGCCCAGGACGACGCCCCTCCCCCCACCCCCACCCCGCTCATATGATGA